AAGCTCATCAATGATCGCTACCTGAAGGATGACCTGGAGTACCAGGAAGTGGTCTTCTTCCTCATTATCCAGAGGAAGCCTCTCTTCTACATCATCAACATGATTGTGCCTTGTGTGCTAATCTCCTCCCTGGGTCTGCTTGCTTACTACCTACCTGCCAAAGGTTAGACACATGGGCCTTCCTGAGCAGATTTAGGATGATGTGCAAACATCTTTAAGTCCCTTCTCTCTGTTTTATTTGAAAATGAGCTGATAGCTAAGCATGAACGTTGAGCATGAATTGGACACATGATATTTGCTTCTCCTTGGACATTACCTGCAGTTTGTAAATTGGTTCTTACACAGAATAAGGTCTGTGGACTCAGAATATAGTACATCACAGAAAATAATCTTAGAATTACTGAGCTTTTAAAAAAAAAGTACTGTTTCTGTTTGTCAGTGGAAATGATTAGTTTATCGGAAATATAGCTTCCTCCACTTTATATCTGCTTCATGATTGGAAGATGTTTGGTTATTGGTTGGAGCACTCTTCCAACCTTGTATATTAATAGCTAATATAACAATAGGTGATCATTATTTTAATAATCTGTTGTGTTGCATATATTAATATTATATGTAAGTGAACATATGTTTGTTATGAGAGCGTAATTGTTGTTGGTGATGTTTGTGGTTGGTTTCCCCAGCGGGTGGGCAGAAGTGTACGGTCTCTATTTCCATCCTGTTGGCACAGACAGTGTTCCTGATCCTCATTTCCCAGAAAGTTCCTGAGACCTCCCAGGCTGTGCCACTCATTGGCAAGTAAGATCCACTCTCCTTTTGCCTTCACCAGCCTTTGGTTATTCGGTAAATTTCAACTTATCTTTTTTCCTCCACTACCTCTGTAACTAACCAGAACTACAGTCTCCAGTGCAGTATGGCTACTGTAAAGATTTAAACATGGAAGAATGTAACCTTTGCTTACATGACAGCTGGGAACACTCATTTAGAAGAAACCTAAAACTGATAAATATAGCTGTCATTTTCTGTCTCTCCAGGTATTTGATGTTTGCTATGACAGTGACAACCATCATCGTGATGAACTGCGTCATTGTGCTAAACGTATCTCTTCGGACTCCCAACACTCACATAATGACCAACCAAGTCAGGCAGGTACAGCAGTTCAGTTCACAAGTGAAACTTGATGAATGAGAAAGCAAAGTATGTATTTTAAACTCCTTAGAGGATCTGGTTCTGTGTTTCACACAATTTCCTACTGTAAATGTTTTCAAACTAAACAGGGACAAAAAGGCTTCTTAAATAACCTCCCGGGTATTCTTCTCAGGAAGTGTGTAGAGCAATCAGATAAACATACAGTACGTCCACTGAAGACACTTTATATACAATACAATTATACACCCCCCTATGGAATTTATTTAGTGCTTTAAATCTTTTCAGCAACATATATTGGGGAAGAGTAATTTATTCAGCAGTGAATACAATTCTCATCAGGAACAAGAACTAAATGGGAGTCCAGAAAGCAAGAAACCAAAGCAATAGGGAAAGGATTCATTAAATGCAACTGCTTTAATGCAGCCTGGTCTGTGATGTGAAAAAAAAAAACAACTTTTACTGTATGTTTGTCTAATAATTCATTCTCTGGCCAAGGGAGAGAATCAGGTCGAAGGGGGGGATGTCAGTAGCATAATATACTGTAAGAGCAGTGCTGGCTCCTCCAGGATATGTGTTTTCCCAATGGGAGCTGTGACTGGCTCTTCTCTTCCCTAGATCTTCCTGAACATCCTGCCACGGTTCCTGCGGATGCACATGCGCCCCTGGTCACCAGAGCGCGACGGAGCGGCCCCCACTCCTCGGCGCCGCAGTTCACTGGGCTTCATCGCCAAGGCGGACGAATACGTGCTGAAGTCGGCCCGGACGGAGCTGATGTTCCGACATCAGAGGGACAGGGAGGGGCTCATGAAGGCTGTGCTGGAGAAGATCAGTGGGTGTCTCAGGGCCAGGATGCCTTGATTGCTAGAGTACAATATTTCATATTTCAGAATGAAAACAACCTCGCATTTTCAATAGAACAGACTAGTGGGAGAGAATTTAAGACAAATGAGAGTTGTAGGAACTTGTTCATCCTCTCATTTCCAAATCTGACTTGTTGTAACGGAATGACTGTATGGTCAGTGTCTTCATTTTCTTTGTTTTCTTAGCGTCAAACTGCTATTTCACTAGGAATGACAATAGGCAGGAATTAGGTGTCCTGGGCCACAGGACATAAGGGTTGTACGTAAGGGTAAGGGCATGTATATTTCACATACAGATATTCTTTGCCAAAAAGCTTATTAAAATTTTAATCAAAATCAATGTGTGATTCCACAAAATAACAGTACGATGCACATATTTCTCACACATTAAATAGTTTGCAGTTTTTGTCAATACTAGGCATAAATTTGAATTATTTTATACTGAGATTTCCTGTAGTTTAAAATATATTACAACCTTATATCTTTCGCTGTGTCAGCTGGACCTCAGAAAAGTGGAATTAAGTGCAGTAGTTTATTGTCATACAGTATGTACACCTACATTGGAATTCTTAATCGAGCTGATCTCTAGGGACATACACAGTACAACAGACAACATGAACAATAAATATGTTGTGGGGAACAATAAGTATGTTGTGGAAACTTGTGTCCTAAGCAGGAATCAAACCCAGTCCTCTGAAGTGCAAGAGGCCTACACCAAACCCTCTGCACCAATGTGCCACTCATTGGAAATTAATTGGAACTAATTGGAAATGAATCTGAAATTTCTTTTTGCATGATAGTTTCTCCTCATTTCCTCAATCAGTCATGATGCACAGCTCCTTTATAGACTACATTTCTAACCATTTATAACTTAGGTGTCATGTGTATGTATGATGAATTAAAAAACATTCCTAAAGAAAACAATGTATTTTGAGGGCACAAGATGGACAGTACACAATGGATGTAACCACTTTCAAAACTCCTGTTATTTAAACTTATCTGTGACATACTGTACTAAAAATAGTCCATATTAATTTACGTGTTTTTCACGTGAATTTCATGTTTTATGATGGAAGAGCACTGAATTTCACTATTTGCTGTTGTAGTGAAATATTGCATTTTCTGTGGCTGTGTAAAGGGGCTCTTATTCCTTTCTGTGCCGGCAGGAAACGGTCTGGAGGGGGGTACGGCCCAGGACATCGACACCAGCCTGGCCCAAGCCTCCCCCGAGGTGCGCTTGTGTGTGGAAGCCTGTAACCACATCGCTGCCAGTGCCCGCGAGTCAAATGACTTTCAGAGTGTGAGTCACCTGGAAAAATACTTGCTGAAGCATTTCTGTGTAGATAGTGTACCATGTACCCGTTTTCTGCTTAGACACCAAAAACCTGCACAGCGATTGAACCATGTCTTCTTGAAATGTAATTTGAGATTGAGGATGTCCAAAATATCTAGCAGAATGCATGGCTATTATTTTTCAACCTGTACCAAAAAGCTTTTCAAAGCACTTGTAAGATTAATTAATTTTCCCTGCTGCCAGACTTTCCAGTCTTTTTCACTGTTTTTTTTTTTTATTATCACTGAAACCTCTTCAATTCCATTGAAATTTGACTTAATATTCTTACAGCTACAGGTGGCTAGGAAGTGTCTTTAAGATTATTGACTGAATCACTGATACTTAATGATACTTAATCATTTACCCACAACTAAATTAACTAAGGTAAACCATGGTACTGTAAATTTTATGATGTCCTCTGATGATAGAATCTGGACTCCCTACATCTCAGCCAACATTCCCTCTACTACGGTATGAAGCTAGAAATGTTTACACTGCCAGGTGTCATACACTTCATCTCAACTCAGAGACTTCTTAAACACCTACTGCATAGCTGTAACAATATGCAGCTGGTTGCACAAAACTCATTCAGTGGAACAGGTCACTAGCTTGGATCTCCTCCTTTAATACAGTATGTGAGAGGAGCAGTTGATGGTGTCTGCTTTCTTCTTATTTGCTGTTATGTGCTTGACATCTACAATGCAATATAATCTCTTTCCGCTGCATGTTTGCAGGAGAATGAAGAGTGGTTCCTGGTGGCTCGAGTGATTGACAGGGTGTGTTTCTCAGTGATGTCCCTGCTCTTCATTCTGGGTACCATCGGCATTTTCCTCATGGGGCACTTTAACCAGGCACCATCCTTACCTTTTCCTGGGGATCCCCGCAATTACCTTCCTTAGCAGGTGGATGGAAGACAGCGCTCTGCTGTGGAGAATTCAATGAGATCACTTTGAGAGCTGCTGCTTGGTGGTATGGTCATCGCCAACAGGAGGAGCTGGGTACTAGGATTGAGGAATTGGGGAGCATGTGGTTTGATCGTCAAGTATGTTTCAAATGCCGCCATGACTTGTACACCCACTTCACACTGCCCTCTGCAGGATCGTTATACAGTCGATATCGGATGAATTGAAAGGGATAATATCTTGAGATTGCAACAACGACATGATTTTCTTTCTTGGGCTTACCAGTGCCCATTTGCTCCTATTTTGGATGGTGCAACGTTAACCCCTATTGAATGGTTATGTGGATCACTTTTAAATATTAAATTAAGAATATTATAGTTTAGATTTTCAGTTCTAAAACAAACTTCACGTTTTCTTCCAACCTTTCCTCAATTATGAGGTGAGTAGACCTTAAAAATGTGTCAGCGCTTTTGAAATTCCATGAGAAATTGACAAGCAAACTACAAGAAACTGAAACACTGTACCTGCTTCTGATGCTTATCTATATTTTTGTTGTGTTTTTTATTGTAGGTTTCCTAATCAGATAAATAGACTCATAGTTTGTATCCATGCATGTTTCTTTTGCTCACCGCTCACCCAGGTGAACAATTAAAGGGTTATTATCAATTTCAACCTATAACGTTATGTGAAAAAAGATCACAAAATCAATTGCAATTTGCAGATTGACAGTGTTTGCTGTTACTGTGGTTGAAGTGGGCATGTTAGAACCTGTAAATGACTGTATTTGCTTCTTGATGTTTATATAGAGCAAGCTAATGTTGTTTTGATGAAGAAAGACTGGCTGCTTCACAACAAGTGGCAGGGTGCCAGTGTCAATGCTAACCCCCTACTGGGTTGTTTTAAGTTACTGATTGGAAACCCATTTTCTTTCACAAAAAGCTTAATTTATTCACTGTTTGCTGAGTAAACTTTCTCTGACAATCTGAGATTGGAGTTCTGTTGGTTTTTTGGGATGCCAGAAAACTGACTGGGTACCAAGCTGGCTTTTCACCCCAAACCACAATGAAACCAGATTTGTTTTTCCACTGGAAATGTAGTATGATGGATGGGTGTGCATTGTTTTTCTTTTTTCATTTACTTTGAACTGTCATGAAAAAATAAAATCCAGTCTTGTTAAGAATTTGTGGATAAATATTTTGATGTGTTATTGATAAATATGCTGGATTTAAACTAAACATTTTATTGGTTTTATTTCCTGTATCATGCTTTCAAAAATTGAAAAGCAATAATTTCAAGGGAAACAAAGCAACAAGCAATGCATCAGACATCATGTGCATGATGATTATATAAACTGTATTGATATGTATGTGTATTTTTAGTTTCCTGGTGCTGGAATTTGACAGAGATGAGTTAAAAACACAGGGAAGACCCACTGTTAAAGTTTTACAAATGATAATTTACTGGATGTTCACCCCTCCTTCTGTGTGTTTCATATACTGTACAAATATTCTATGTGAAAGTCTAGTCATGTGTCCCACCTCTCGCACCAATGAGGTTTTGTCATCCTCCCAGTCCAGAAATATAAAATTGTCTGCATATCTTGTGAAGTGACCCTCCTTCACTTTACCGCAAAGGGTCTAGAAAGATGTGGGGTAACTCTCTTTACGAAGGAAGAGGGACCTAATTACATGGGTGAGTGCTCCCTTTATCCCACAACAATGCAGGGATCCGGCTGGTTGGGGTGGAAACAAGGGACTGAAACAGAGTCCAGGGAAACGGAGAGAGAGACAACAGTAGCTGAGGGACAAGAGGTGACTCGTCCCCAGTTACAGATCTGTAGCCCACATCTGCTCCTGGTTCTGCTTTTCAGCGCATAGTTTCAGAGATAAAACAACTTCTAGACAGCAGTTAATTACAGCAGAGATAAAACTTCCCATGGTAAGAGATACATTTTCAACATTATGTTCATGCAAGCTTGACAATTTGTAGATTAACATTACACGGCAGTGAGGAATTCTTTAGTCTCCTGCTTTCTTTATAATTGTATTTGATGGTATAGGTCTTGCTATAGTTTGAACTTATCTGTCAGAAATTCTGAATATTTTCTGTCATGTACAGTACAACTTAAAGAGAATCAGAGAGGTATAAAAGAAGTATTTTGAAAATGTCTCATTGTAATGAGAAAATGTTGGTATTGAAATTAATCTGGCTTTTGCCCTGAAGAACGTTGAGTGTTCAGGTTAGTTTCTTCTCTCTATGCTACTTTTGAGGACACTGTTGTATTGCACGCGAGCAGCTCATTTCTATTCTTGTACATTTGAAATGCTTCCCCTTTCATTTTTTTAAACTTAGTTATTCAGGAAGTAATTTCCTCAACCATTAATTAAAGCTAGACCTTAATTTCTATGTATTTAATTGTGATAGAGGCACTAAACATGTTTATGTTCAATTGATAATGCTGCTTAGTGTTTGTTAAAAATTGCTTAGTAATGTTTTTAATTTAAGCCAACTTTTACTTCTCAAAAATTAAAATATCCTCTATACCAATTTTCACTGCTCCATTTCGTCATTTGCATGGTAACATTTAGAAGTGGATTTCATTGCTAACAATAAGATTAGAATATCCTCACCTCAAGAAGGTCTAATTAAGCTAAAAAGAGTTTTCATGAATATTCAATGGTAAAGCATACACTGCAAAATTCAGTTGATGCTTATTGTATTCAAGTCAGCACCAGTTGCTATGTTCTGTTTTCTGTTTGCATTAATGCTTAGAAGATTTTGAAAGAAATTATTTTTGCTTGCAAACATATATTGGTATATTGTTACATTATACTCAGTGACAGCAGAAAAAAGACCAATAAAGACTACTAGTGGTCATACAGCCTGGATTGCTTTAATTATTTTTGTGTGACTGACAAGTTGGTATTAAGTTGTTTAACAGGAAACCGGTATTCAATTAGTCACTCATTAATCATTTATCTGTATATTGTCCTCCTTTTTATTTATCCTGAAAACTCAGTTGGAGTTTGGAGGTATATTTTCAGCCTGGTGCAAAGGTAATTTTAATCTCCTGTACACTTCCTGGTACGATATTTCATTTAAATTATCCTTTTCAGAATCCAAATGTAAATGTATTTATCCAAATGTAAAATTTAGCATAGCCATCACATTACACAATACCAATTGTTACTATTAAAAATGACTAACCAAGATTATTTCACATTTTATAGAAAAAAGGACAGAATATTTGCTTAACATTCCAGTAATAGTGAAAGTTAACTGAAACGTTGAAAGACTTTCTACTACAGCATTAAATTGCATTATAGTGCCTACAAGAAGGGATTTTTTCCATAGGAGATAATAGTTTGGCATTTAATGTTATGCATAGCTTGAAAGTGTAAAAGATTATTCAAGGGTTTTGCCCTGAAGTAAAGAAGGGATTGATTATGGCAATGGTGAATATGGCTAATGTCTGGTGAGGGATTTCTATTCTGTTTTTATCTATTGGCTTTGCCTCTCACCACAGGTACAATTACAGAAATTCATGGAGCAAGGAGCCATCTGTGCAGACAGCTCTTTGCTCCCACTTGCCTTGACTATGTCCATATGTGAATAGGAATTGTGTCCCAGAAGGTCACACAACACCAGCTCTTTAATAAAGACATTCCTGTAGGGAGTAGATGTATGTCAGGAGCAGACAAACAGCCATTCCCTTCCCCCACATGAATAAAACTACTGCAAATTGTAACTGGTACTGCAAGATTGAACATTTATTAGTTCGTTTTCCTGGACTGAATTGCTATTTTCTGCAAATCATTTATTGTTATAAGTTTCCCGTCTTGGTTTTTTTTTTTTGCCTTGGCATTCCCTGTGGCACTGGGAGTTTTCATTAGTCAATGACAAAAATCAAGCATTGCACTATAAACACTGTAAATCAGAATGACTGGTGGAAAAAAGGAGTGAGCGATAAAGGAAAGAGTCAGACCTGCTGTTGCTGTTTCAGAACTTGTCAGCTGTGACTGTGCAGCCAGTTCCCTTCAGGCCACTGGAGAGGGAGAAGCACATCGAGTCGCTTTTCAGAGCCTTCACTCGAGGGAGGAGGCATGCCCCAGAGCCTCAAGACACCCCTGTCTCTCGCTCTCTGGGGGACGGACTCTCTCCCCGGCTCACAGAGGACCACGAACATGAAAACAGCCAAGGGGGTACAGAGAAACGGGCTGCTCTGGAGCTGCACACCCTGAAGGAGGCCGAGCTACGTGCTGGCCTCTCCAGCATACAGGAGCCAGTGATGGCAGTGGCTGGAGAAGACCAAGGCCTGGCACTGTTGGAGACTGTGAGCCAGCTGCGTATCATGGCTAGGCCAGAGCTGCAAGGTAAGACACTTCAAGCACGGAAGTCCAGGAAATCTGATCTTTGAAAGTTCATTGGACGGTCAAAGTAAAAGACAGGTGTGTGGAAGAAACGGGTATTGCATTTTTCACCAGCTCTGTGTTCTACTGAAATATATCACTACAACTAAATTGTAGAACGAGGCAGATCATAAAGACTACTGTTTAACTACTGTACTGTATATGTATGCTTCCATGGAGTTTTTACAAACACCATCCTTTTCATAAACAATGTTTCGTTAATAAAGTTAACAATGAAATGCTAGTTTATAAGTGTTCGTTAAATATGAGCAAGTGTGAACTGTGTAAATTCTCAAAGGAAATTGTAAAATTGAAAAATTGAAAAATAAACTTGAAAAGTATGAACAAATGAGTACTTCAGATGTATGCACAGGGGACTGTGGAAAGGTATTATGTGTAGGGATGCCTATGGAAATTCGGAGTTATGTCCTTTTGCTTTCCAGGTCCACACTGTAAGCCTGGAAGATCCTACAGTATCACTACAGGAACCAGGAGTCAAATCTATGTAGCTGTTGAAGGTGAACCAATTTAGGATTTTAAGGTTTATTCCTCTACAACAGCCAAGTCTATGGTTTTATTTTTTAGTAAGAGTTCCAGAAACTTAACTAAGCCAATTAACTGCTTGTTTGGGGAATTCTTTTAATTGGGGTGATTAATGCAAGATTTTGATGGATCTAAACCATATGTACCGTAGAATAGTTCTTGAAGTTGTAACATACTTTGAACACATTGCTTCTTTAAATTATCTACAGCTTTAGTCAAGGAGAAAAAGCTGTGATTTTCCCTTTGACTAAGGCCAATTTGCCAGCAGATTGACACCCAGATATTAACGTTAACCTGTGGCACTGGTTTCATTCTTTTTCCTTTTCTTCCAGAGAGCTCTTGTCTTTGTCTGCAGTGTTGCGGTCCTGCGCGCTCCTGCTCTATCAGGGGGTACAGCCGCCAGGCTCAGGAGGTTTTCCTGCTCGAGAGGCCGCTGAGGGCGGACGCGTGCTGCCTGGGCTGCTGCCTGATGGAGATGAGGGCCTTCGGGGCTGACCGGCAGCTGATCGGCACCGTGCGACAGAGGTACAGAGGGCAGCACCATCTGAGCTGCAGGACTTGGTATTGGGTACAGGCTGGCTTCTGATCAGATCCCAAGTTCAGCGTAAATGAGATGCCAACACCCTCTGTCCTTTCAACCAGGCCTTTGATAAATGTGTGTTTAATCTCAATGAGCTTTAGTTACACTATAGACTTTACAGTACAGTATATCATCTTATAATTTAACTGGGTCAGTGCACTCTTGACGTAGAGGTATGTTTAGACAGCTGCAGATTCAGCCACAGTCAGGCAACATACAGTACAAAGAATTAGAGATATGTTGTTCAGGTAACAAAGTAGTAACATTGCTGCCTATTATTCCAAAACCATTTTTTAGTTCAATATTAACCTTCTGTTGGCCAATAACAATCACTATATAACAAAAGGATATATATATATATTATTGCATTATAAAAGATTTTGCATCCATCAAAATAGCTAATATGAGTAATCGCTAATATCAGTAAGTCCTGTAATTGTAAGGTTAAATTCTTTGGTAACTGTTATCTCCAGGCATGTTAATTTGACTGCTGAAAACTAAAGGGCTGCTTCATCTTTCAATCACCCATACCTTATCATACAATTAAACACAGTTCGTTTAAAGTTTAAGAAGGAAATTATGTGCCTCAGTAAAACATAGGGTTATTTCTGTTTGTATCCGAGATATTTTATCTTTGTGTGCCATGCTGCCTTCAAGAACACAGTTGGCAAGGGTGATCCTGATGATTTGTTTCTTTTCTTGATAATACCTCAAGATGTATGAAAATACTTTGCAGATGGAGTATGTTCACCCCTCTCCTGGAAATCTGCGACTTAGATGGAACATCAAATATCCGAATCCTGGGCCCATGTTGTCCGTGCCGCTGCTATTCCAATCAGGAGTTTCAGGTATAGGAACTGGGCCATAGGAATTTCCATTGATTCAAAATTTGCAGGCATTTTCAAGAGGAGTTATTAATACACTAGGAGATTGGTCATTATACCATGCATAAAGGGCACTATTTCACCAGAGTTTTCATTACACTGACTTCGTGAGTCTTTTGTAAGTAGCAAACACCAGTCACAACACTACATATTAAATGCTTCTTTTGAACATAAGAGATTGTATTGAAGAATACATATACCTTTCACTGGATGTCAATACAGCTTTTTACAATTAGCAGTGTACTGTATAAGGGAAAAGTAATAACAGTTAATGACTTTCCAAGGGCTAGTTGAAGTTGAGTATCCAATAGGATATGAAGAAAGACATGACTCAAGATCATGGTTTGCAATAGCCTTCATAGACTTGTTTTATGTCTGGATTCAGTTTAGAGGAATGTTTAACTTAAACGGTAATTTTATATAAAAGAACAAGTAAGAGGTTTATTCCATGCTGAAAAGAGAAGAAAGAAAACATGTTTCTGCTGTGGAGCCTCACCCCAAGAAGTGGAATAAATTACCTATTACTTGTTCTTTTATATAGAATTACCATTTAGGTTAAACATTCCTTTAGATTGTATCCATCCAATTAACCAATTGAGAAATTATTAGGTGGTGTCAAAAACTGGGGAGAAGCTGGGAAAGATATGGAAAAAGTGGCCTGGTTATAATGAAGACTACAACATTGACCATGAATACTTTGGGGTAGATGGTAAGAACTAGTCTTAATTTCCTTAATATGGAACATTACTCAGTTTTTCCTTTCACCAAAATTACAGAAACCCCTATTTCCTTCTCTACAGTGCCTCCAGAAATGAATCCAAAATCTAAACTGCTTTTGCTGGCTGCCACTTTCCTGTTGGTAAGACCATCAGATGTAAAATAAATGATGTGATTTATACAATAAAACAAAATAATTTTGGACTATTAATATTTTTTACTATATTAGATTTTATGGATGATAAAAAATAACATTTTTATCTCTCCTATCCTGCAGAACCACATGTTTTTTGAGATGAGCTAAGATGCCTCTAGTGTCTGGAAGACCACAAGGTAAAGCTGTAACAGTATGAATCACCAAGAATCCAGCATGTGGGACATCTCGATAAATTGGGAAAGATCGTGTTACCTGTGAAACACTCTTTAAATGTTGTACAACTACCTACCTAATGGGCAAGTGGTGTCAAAGACCGGACTGACATGAAATCACTTCATCTGTTTTTAGAACAAAATAAAAGTGGAAATTCCAACAAACAGTACTGTAGTACAATCTACTGTATCTTTGACATAAAACTTACTACCAAATGAACACCTAATTTGGAGAAAAATACTTAGTAGTAGAATAGCAGAAATTCTGTTAGAAGATAATTAAATATTTTTGTGTAGGCTGGCTAAATGGGGTATGAAGGCTTATGTAATTTGTTTAATGAGGCCACAGTAGCAAGTTCAGGCCCAATGTACTTCCTTGCCTAGAGATCAACTGTTTGAAAGCTCTGAGGGAGAACAGGAGAAGTAGAGATATTCAACATCCAAGGAAACAGACACTGAGATTCTGAAATAAAAAAAAAAAAACAAATGCAGGATTTGAACAAAAAGCCCTTTACAAAAGCCCTTTGCAATTCACAGTTCAGTGTTATTTCTATGCAGAAAAGTATTTTAAACTAGACATGTATGTTCCCATGGCCTGTTAATCATTTTATGGTAATTTATTAGGATTATATACAAGTAGAATATTGATTCAGGGATCACCATTACTGTATTGTATTAACCCATGTGTATTGTTCCACTTGGAAAACCTACATATATTTCTTGTAATGTTATTTAATAAACCAAATTTTCAATTTTTCCTTAAACTGAATCTTTGTTTTAAGATTATCAATATGCATAATTACTATTCTCAGGGTTGATTTTGACACTCAAGTCTGTCACTTTTCATTGTGGTATGAACACAAAAGGAATATAGTCAAAACACGCCTTGTTTAACAGGCCTGTACTTTGGTACAAATATTTTATCACCCCATATCCTTTTTACAGTATGCGTAATACTGGACTGAGCATCAAGATATTGAACTTCAAGGCAGCCTTTCACAATGCTTGCTGGCAATGAACCTCATTAAATACATAACTGACACCTCCAGGTCTGTCAGTATAAATATAAACTGAGTTACTTCAGACATTCATAGAACAAACAAGAAAATATTTTAAAAAACCTTTTATATACAAACTATCAACAGAAACACTTTTGTAAATATCTGGACATTTACAATTATTCACAATATATTATAAGCATTAGTAAATAAAACCAATCTGTATTCCTCAACGTCTAACATTGGATTTGGAATATTAAAATTGCCATAGTTGAAGCAGTAGGTAATTCTAATATTACAAATAAGACCGCTGTCAAATCAGCATTTTTTGGAGCGGGGCATTATATTGAAAACATTAGTAACATCACACAGAGAGACAACAGAATTTAATTAGCAGCAGGTGCATAATTGCCATTTATTGCTATATTCAAGCAAAACATTGCTCTTTTTGTGGCAGTGTTGTCTGCACAACAGCACCACCAGCTGACCCCCAATTAGAACTGCACAGAAACACATACAGTAGCTCTCTGAGGTGACAATACTGTTTGTTCCCCTGCTTTAATACTGAACCACCAAACCTTCTTTTAAAACTTCATCTCAAGAAGTAGGTTAGTCAGGGGAAAGACCAGGCACAGCAATTTAGTCAGCATGGTAGCACATCATAAAAATGTCCTAGTAATTGGAAACTTAGATCCACGTGAGACCATCCAATCATCAATTTAGGTTACACGTTAGTACCATCTATTAAAACGGTCTCATATCATAAGGATCCTTTCCTCAGGTGTACTGTACTGTAAATATAATTACTCAGATGTTTTTTTATTCACCTTTGTTTAAAGCACTTTTCCTTCAGCTGGATCAATGTTGTTCTACCTCATTAGTTTTATGAAAAATAACTTGCCACTGCATCCTTGTGCTGGAGAGGCACAAGAAGTCTTTTTAAGACACTGACGTTAAACCGTCCCAAACGGTTTCTCCAAATTGTCTTTTCTAAATATCTACCAAACCGCTTGCTTCTTCATTCCATTTAGCATGTAACCAGAGATACATGGCTGAACCGTATGTGGATGTGTGGCCACAAGCTGTCAGAAGTAGGCCTTGCCCTTTTCTGTCACTTCTCTGCTGAGCAATGATTCAAGTCCAGGAATCCTTCACCCTGCAACTTCTCTGACTTCTTGAGGAAAAGCATCACCATCCACATGGCTACTTGCGTTTTCTGAAAAGCCTCAACAGTCTCTACAGAAAAAAATGCAAGGAAGTACACTGTTATTTTTTTCTTTTACAGATGTAAATTATATTCCATACCTTCTACTTTACACTATAGCTTAATTTAAATACTCTAATGCACTTATGCACATTACCATACTACTGTATACTGATAAATATGCTACAATGAAGATGTTTAGCAATTAATGTTATAGTGTAACCCTTTTAATGTGTAAATATTTAATAAGAGGAAATGGGAAAAAATAGCAGAACCCTTGTCAGAAAAAGCAATAAAAGACAAAATATTACACAATTACTGTACAGTATTGCTCAACAGAGCTCAAAATGTGTTTCCAATTGACCAATCTTATATATTCCAATATTCCAATCTTATATCCTCCACAATGTTATAGTGTTAAGAAAAAGAATAAATGTACCTAAATACTTCCTTGGCAAGTGTGTGTTCTACTTGAATCCCAGAACATAAGCCCCATGCTGACCATTAATCTATATGGGCAAAATATGGAACACAATCCCAGTCTATACCAGGGTATAACTGTATATCTTTTTTTAAGTGGATTATTTTCCTATTAACTATTTTACCATTTTACCACAGATAAGAATACAGTATAAGAAATAATATACAAAGGCATTTGGTCTTGCACAATTTCTGTGAGGTACAGATGGAAAGACAGTACCTACTGGGTTGTCAAACACAGGATTCATGGTCAACGGCCACCACTGGTGTTCACAAGCCCATGGAATTCTTCCCATGCCCTGACAAATCACAATCAATTAGTGCCATCAACACCTGACTGGCAGATCCCTATCCTGTCACCCGATTAAATGCTTTGATTAATCATTCAATCTAAGTTGCAAACTTAGTCACAATATACATCAGTTAAAGGTTTTTATTCAGCAGCAGAAACTAACTATAAAATGTAAATATTACTATGCAGAAAACTATCTATAAAAGCCTCTTAAAAACTAATTTCCAACACTCCCCGCTAAAGACGTTACAGACATTACACAAAAGGCGTGTGAAAACTGACATATACAGTATGTATTTATTCTCAGATTTAGAATTTGTGTGGAGAACTAATATCAAATTCTGATCAGTACTGGCACTGCAACTAGACTATTTTAAACCAGTCATGACGTCTCAAGCTCACTGCCCTGTTATTATTCTCTATAAGAGAATAATTTGGTCAGATGTACTGTTTTGACTAGAAAGCCACATCTTTCTTCTGCTTTGTATGTCTTTAATAATACAACTTAGAGAAGATGTTGGTGTCTTCCTACAAAGCTATAAGTAGAGGTCAGTTGCTTTTACTTCTTTTTGCTAAAAGTTGAGTACCTGAAAGAACTAGGATTAAAAAATAGGTTTGTCACAGCACTTACAGTATGCATGTCACCCAATGTCACTATCCCACTCACTTGATGCTGTCTGTGTGAGTCTTGTACTCCATGATGGTGTTTGGTGGCAGATTGAGGACTCTACGTAGGGTGTCTCTTATACGTGCTGTGGTGGCCTGATCACTAGCTGTCTTATTCCAAATGGAGATAATATCCTCCTGCAAAATGCACACAATCTAAGACAAAAACCACAAAAATTCATTCCAGTAGAAACATGGGACCTGGTCTCGGTGGCCTACAATATGTGGTGTGCACATAAATATAAATAATAAATGTTACTCTAATCCTAGCCATGTACAAAAATTTGGAAGTATTTAACAATGTTCTAAATTTGCAATATTATGAATAAAGCACATATTACACTGCTGAAATCAGAATTAGATAAAATCAGCCATAACAAGGTTAAGCTCTTATTGACCAAACCCATATTCACAATAAACATACAAATTAATACAAAACTTTTGTCTTTGTTGGTTTCTGCATAAACAGCTGTTAAATCAAACTTGAAACACAACCTGTTGAGAATTTTACTTCATTTTTGTCATTTGTTTCAGTGCAATAGCAGGAATGGAATACGGTTTTACCTTTTGCAGTTGCTGGTGAGGTCATTTTCATATGTGCTATCATCTAGGTTCTGAGGAACTTACAGAGAAGCTCACAACAACAAGCTCTCTTTATAACTATCTCTTTCTCCTCTGTCCTACCTGTGCAAGACCTGTCCACCTGTGGTCTGATCTTGCTAACAGCATGTGTAAAAATGCATCAGTACCTGAAACCGCACAGAGACAACGGCACCACAGATCTCCTCCCCCACCATGAACTGCTCCCCAAGCATGGCCAGAATCAGGTTCTCCCAGCATCGTGATGCCAGGCCCTTCCGCAACCGAATGATCCACTTACCCCCGCTCTTGTTGGCATCATCCTGAGGATAAAGCAAGGCAGGCTGTCACTAATGGATTGGCAAAGGCTAAGGAACTTCATTTTAAATTAACATGCAGAATATTTCATATTCAGTGGTCGCTGTCCTGTTTTAAATATTGTACATACAGTACAAGTCCTCATGATGACCTTTTGTTACGTGTTCCCATAGATCCCATGTTATAAAACCGTCAGTTCATAGAAATTCCCAAAATGTCAGAGAAAGTGATGTCAGCAGCTAGTATGAAGTAGCAAGGAATGACGGTTTAAAGTATACAGTAATTCACATTTCCAAGTGCATTTCCCACATATCAGCATTGTTATTTGTCTTTTGAAATAGAACAAATTAATGTATTCTGTAAGAAGAAACTAGTTAAAAGTCTTTAAAGTAATACATTAGTTTAACTTGCTAAGATAAATTCACACGACACAGAATTAAATGGCTTTAAATGGCACGAAAGCGATTCACCAAATTTTATTTTATACCTCCCACATAGGTTTGATGCCTTCTTTGAAGAGATGGAAGTCGCTATGGCCTGTTAAGTCACCAGGTCGAACCATATGGCTGTAAAACCGCCAGAACTGCTCCACCTGGAGTAAAGAGCATAGTTACATTCAGCATCACACTCAATAACTGTGCCTTGGCATCTGAAACAGCTACTCGGCACATCAGCAATACTCATGAGGAACATGTGATGAAGTATGAGAGAACTGATAGGTAATATGGAGGTAAAAACACATACAAAAATTTCGAATTGACCGTCGGCGATGGTCCAAAAAGCTTTGGGCCTGTGAGAACGATCTATGATCTATGAGCTTCAAGAATGCCTCAAAGGCCAGACAGCGCAAGTATGTGAAACTGCTGATGAGGAGGCAAGGTCACTACCACTAATGCATGTCGTGGGTCTATAAGTTTTAAAACTAAGTCACAAGGTGCTCTTCACTAAATGCATCTAAACTTTGGTTTATTAGTGGTAAATAAACAGTACTGCTTTTAACATTTATTTCACTTTAACAACATCAGTTATCAGAAAAAAAAGTTTTTTGTACTTTTTTTGTAAAAATAGAGATTGCTGAAACTAATGACTTTACATACTATGTGGAATGCACTGAGAAGGTTAAAAAAAAGACAAAACTGTCCACCATATGTTTACTTGTGAAGGTGCTGGTTCATGTTCAGATTCCTAAAGCCATGGTCATAAAAATAAACTGTTTACACATTCTTTGGAGCTGAAGGAAGGAAGATACAAAGGCAATGGTTTACGAATTCCACCCTTTCCCACTTCAGAGTTTATTGAGGCGGCAGACTGTTAACAGTTGCCTCTATTTTCCTGGCACTCATCTGCTAGGCTGGAGGATAATAAATGGCATTGTTTCTTTTCAGAACATGTCATTAAACAGAGACGTCCATTTAAAGAGAGCACACATGTACTTTATTACCCAGGGATGTGTCTGCCAGGCACTCAGCCTTTCTCATGTCTCTTGACAAGAGGTATGGGACCCGCTGTCAGTGCAGAGTACAGACTGCATTTTGAAACACCTGCGACCACACTAAATTAAGACATAAAAGGATGATTTTACAAATCCAACCCCTGTAAGGACTATACATTTTATCATAAGCCTAAATTACTTTTCCTAACAAATATCTTAGGCTTTCCTTGAATATAGTTCTAGAAAATGTGAAGTATTTTATTGTACAACAGAGCCAACTGAACCACAACTTTACTAAGAGTGTTTACGGGAAAGCAGTGTTAATAGTAAATGAAGCCTCAAATGCACTACATTCCCAATTTGAAAAATCACCATCCACAGTTTCAGAGTACAAGGTTACAAACAACATTTTTAAGAAGTCATTAATTCTAAGTGCCATCACTCTTTTAAACTCTGATTTACTGTATGAACCCCTTCACAAAACAGTATTGAGAGCATATGCTGTATATGCATGCTGCTCACACTTGAATCTTATGTTTTGGTATTGTACTGTATGGTATTTATATTACATTGCTTGTATAAATCTGTAAAATCCACTGAATGGTTTGTGCACTCTGGTACAGACACTGTTTGTTTATTGTTGTCTAAGTGAGGCCAAAGAAAACATTCCACTGTGGACAACAAAGTAGTTTCTGATTCTGAATTATCAGTAAAATAAACAACATGATGGATTGTCATGTATAATTTGTATTTTTCCTTGACCCTTTTAATGTTGAATAAAGCCCACCATTTTTGTGGAGACAAGGACATGTGCAAGGATATGGAGTAACAGATTTCAGTACTATTCACAAGAACTGAGATAAGCCTTTTAACTCACAATGCAAACATCCTGCGCACTACGATCTTTTTCATGTTTATAAGGACATCCATTCTCTTACAATAACCCTGCTCGCAATTTAATCAGTAGCCTGGATTTTGAAATGGAAACCACTTTCTACCACGATTCAGCACATGCAAAGGGAAGTACAAATATTCTATTCCTGATCACCTTAAACCCAAAACGAAATGAATTCCTTCTCCGTGAAAAAGAGAAACATCAATATACCTGACATTGTAACATTCATCGCAATGTAGCTCATTAAAAATAATGTTTCCTAATCCTTATCAAATGTCAAAGGAAAAGTGTATATTCAAAATATTTCACGTGCTATACCCCGGGTGCGTTTCATTGCTGGTTAAGGCTTTTGGCATAGTAAGCATTCCACTGTAGAACACAACTGCCAACCACTGTATATGGGAAAGCACAAAGCCTGCAAATATTCAGCCTTGCATTACTACTGTCATCTACAAGATTCCAAACAGAATAGACCGCGGAAACACCCGCGACGTAGCCGTAGATGCAGATATTACGAAGATATTATGAAGTAAAAAGTATATAAAAAGACACAAAGGAACGGGGCACGGTAGGGGCAACTCACCGAAGCGAAGCTCCCGATCTGTTTGATGTTCTGCTCGTAGCTCTGAGAGCTGGTGGGGCGGCCTGGGGTGCGCCGTGAGTACCAGAAGGTGTAGTTGTACTGCAGGGGATGCTCACCTGCCCCCGGGACAACTGTCTAAAGAGAGGCAACCTATTTACCGAGTTGCTCAACTGCATATAGAAAAGGGTTCACGCTGCACCGTCTGACCATTTTTAAAAGTGCAATTCAAAATCTTGAACATCGCATAGAAATTCGGTGATTTCAACTATACTGTAATTTAGCTGTGCCTCTGTGCACAAAAAATGTTCATCCCCCCCAAGAACAGAATTACTCTCATCCTGGCACCAGCACAAAGAAAGTTCTGCTGGAAGTGCAGGGCATTGCTTTTACAATGAGTGATCCGGGATTTTAACATCATATTGGTTTATTCAGCACACATCAGTAGTTTCAATAAAAAATAATAGTAGTTGCTGTAAAATAAAGATTAATCTTCTTTTTTTTAATATAATTGGTGTCAGGAAAATTAACTGCTTTATAATACAAACAAAATGGGGGAAATGGTAACTACTTTCAGAAAGAAATGTTCTATTCCTATGAACCCTGTAACTGTGAATGGATTTCAAAACAGCAAATGAATATAAATGCCTTGGCATTATTATTGATTGTAAATTAGTTTGGACCACCAATACAGGGGAGAGGTATTTTAAGGATGTATTTAAAATAAGAAGTATTTTAAGGTTGTATTTTTTAAGGAATTTAAGGTGTTTCAATGTAGAAGGCACAACGCTGTCAGTTATCAATAAGAGTTTTTTTTTTGCAGTATTCTAACCTTTTCTTAGAACACCCCTCTCATGCACTCTTTTAGAATATACTCTCCTACCATCTGAAAAAAGGTACCAGATCCCCTGTATAAAGACTAAGAGATCATATACATCAATTATACCTTAAAGCATGCAATTGTATAACAATGAAAAGATTGTTTGGAGGTAGGGATCTTCTTGCTGTTGTTTTAGATTCTTTATTGTCTGTTTTTAATCTTATGATAATAGATTGAGTTAAT